AAATTCAATCTTGTCTACAAAAACAAGATTGGAGTGAAGATTGGGTTAGATTGGAGTGAAGATGTTCCTCAAAAATTTAATAGATAACCAAAAAAGATAATTGTTTATTAATAGAAGTGTTGTTTCAGAGTACCATCTTTAAATTATTTCTTTTTAAACTTGGCGTTTCCTTTAGTAAGATTAAAAAATACATATGTAGAATTCTTGCATTGTTATTGATGGTATCATAGTTCATTTGAGTAGTGGTAGGAGAATGCCCACAGGGTAGGTGGTATATAAGGAACAAAAATTTATTTCTCACAGTTGTGGAGGCTGGGAAGTCCAGCATCAAGGCTCTGGCAAATTTCATATCTGGTGAGGGTTCGCTTCCTAGTTCATAGAATCTTTTCTCAATATGTTCTTCATATGGAAGAAGGGACAAGGGAGCTCTCTGGAGTCTCTAAGATAATTTAACCCATTTATGAGAGTTCTATCCTCATGATATAATCACCTTCCAAAGACCTCACATGTAAATACCTTCATATTAGGAGTTAGATTTCAACATACGAATTTTGTGAGGACACAAAAATTCAGTCTTATGCATATTTGTATTTTAGATTGGAGTGAAGGGTAATTGATTTTATACCTCAGTATGACATATGATCTGATTATGGAAAAGATCTGAATATATTGACACTAATTGTGCTAATATTAACTAGAGTAGGGGAACTGCTGTTTTATTATCAATAGGGTAAACATATACGGATATGTTTCCTTATTTACCATTTACTTGAGTTCTAAGAGCTCCTGTCATTACTTTTGAAATTCAGATGAAGAAATTGATTCTTGAGTTGTAAATTACTAATCTAAGCACAAATTTCATAAGTGGAAGGCTATAAGGCTAATTAAGTTTTTCTGGCCTATGATCCTTTATATGATGCTAGGAAAATAGTTAAAAGCATTTCAAAAAAGTAAGAAGAATCAATACCTCAAAACTGTTTTAAAATATACATTTTAGTATTGGAAGCCAGGCATCCTTTAAATTTCTAGCTGACTGTAAACTGAAAGTGTTGAAACAGTATCATGTATAGAATAAATGATCCATATATTTTTCTTAATTATACACAAAACAATTTCACAGTATATGTGACTGAAAGCTTTTAAGTGGTAATTATTGCAGTTAACATAACTCTTCTCTCTGAAATGGAAATACACTGCAAGAAACACACTGACAAGTAATTCTATACAATCGGTGAGGTATGTTTTTGTTGTTCATATACTTGCAGACCTCTGAGATGCTTATTTATTTTGAAGTCTTCCACTTAAATTCATATGGATCTGAATAATTTCCAGTCTAATTTTATTTCCTCTGGTACTGTAAATTATTTTCAATTGAGAAGTGGTATTTATTCTAATGTCATGCTGTGCTCAGAAATCTCACATTTTCTAAAGAAGATGCCAAAGTAATCTGTAGGATCCATTTTCAGTGTTTTCATGATTACAGGAACTCCTTCTGTTTTGAAAATTTTTAGACCTAGTATAGCATAAGCATGAGTGGAAAAGGAATGGATATCTCTTATGCAAAGAATCATTTATGGATCTTTTGTAGGTATACAGATCCAATATCCTCTAGGGCGAGACACAAATCCCCATAATATCCCCATGTGTACAATTTTGCATTTGGTGCTTGGTTTTAGCTGACAGATGGGTAAAATCACAAATAACTGAATGACTCCCTACTGACTTCACAGCTGCACTGTGGAAGCTGAAGCTTGTGAATTACTGCAGGGACGGTCAACAAGAAGCTACACCATATTGCCCATATTCATGAGTAAGGATGTTGTTTGAAATATGAGCTTGGAATTATGCATGAAAAACAAATTTTTATGAAACAGTCTTTTTAAGGTATAATATTTAGTTTAGAAAAGGGTCATAAAATTTTTAGTGGTTCTTGCTATGACTATTATGGAATTTAACAGCATCAAATTAGCATAAATATGTTTTCTCATATTTCTGACTTTTTTCTTAATGGCTTATGTGTCTTTTTAATATAATACTCCACATATTTAATTTGAAATTAAATGGTGTATGAATTTTGTTTGAATTATATTAAGAGATTGAATATGTCTTTCAAAATTCCTGTTTATTCAGAAATGCATATAAGCAATAATAACTGAAATTAATCCAAAATTACACTGATGGAAATGGTCTGAATTTTGTTTTATGACTTAAGTTAGCTTTGGAAATTTTGCCTACCACTTACTCTTCCTTTCTTTTGGATTGTGTCTGACTTTTGCACATGAGGAAGTAGGAGATCTTTCCTCATGTGCTTCTCATTTGGGAAGAAAAAGTGGAGAAAATGCCACTCTTCCTCTCACTACTTCATGAGGAATGAGGAACAGAGTGTGTTTTGTGCTTTAATAATGACATTCTATACACATTAATAAAAATGATCCCAAATATATCACATGTATCAATTGGATTAGATAATTTCATAAAAAGAAATGAATAGGAATGAAAACAAAATTATGAAAGAAGTACATTCTTTTGTCCCTCAGAAATTCCTTGAGAAGGTAGAATGTTTTACCCTTATGGCTCAGGGAAAGAGTGTTCACATGGTACAAGTGGTTTTTTCCAATCTCCCTCAATCTATTGTTTTGAAAAAGCATGTAACCATGTGGTTGGTAAACTGTAGCAGAGACTTCACATGATTTTCTGTTATAACAAGATTTCCAGGACTCCCTTTCAGTGGAGATATGGCCATGCGGCCACATTTTAGTCAATGAGATGTAAGAAAGTGCTCATTAAAAACAAACATTACGCATGTCCCATGGCTCATTTTCTTTTTTTCTACTTCATTTTCTGGTATGCAGATTAAATGTTACAGTCACCAGTAGCCATCCAATAGATTATGATAATGAATCTCACACATGGGGATGTCAGGATGATAAACTAGAAAGAACCTTTGTTCCTGAGCATTGGGGAGCTATAATCCTAACCTTGTTCTTCCACCTTCCTTCATTTACATGAACAAGAAATACACTACTGTTATGTGAAAACTTACGTTGAACTTCACTGTTTCTTGCACTAAGTTTAACCCTAAGTCAATATCTAAGCCTGCAGGAAACATTTGAGAAAGCAACATATTTTCTCCTTTCTATCTAATTGAAATTCTGTGTCCTTTGACCAACATTTCCCCGATTCCTGTGCCACTCCATGCTCCCACCAACAGCCCCTAGTAAACATCATTCTTTCTACTTCTAAATTTGACTTCTGAAATTTCTCATATACTTGGGCATTTGCATTTATCATCCTGTGCCTGGTTTATTTCACTTAATATAATGTCCTCCAGGTTTATCCAAGTTGTTACAAATAACAGGATTTTATTTATTTTTATAACTTATCAGTATTCCATTATGTATGTATACCATGATTTCTTTATTCATCCATTGATAGACACTTAAGTTGATTCTATATCTTTGCTGTTAAAAATGATGTTGCAGTGAACATGGGAGTGAAGATATCTTCAAGATACTAATTTTATTTCCCTTAGATATATAGCTAGTAGTGGGACTGCTGGATCATGTGGTAGTAATATTTCTAGTTTTATAGTGACCTCTATAGTATTTTCTAAAAGGGATGTACTAATTTACAGTCCCACCAACATTGTTCAAGGGTTTTTCTCCACATCCTCACTGACATTTGTTATCTTTTTTATGTAATTTCCATTTTAACAGTTCTGATATTATTTCTTATTGGGGATTTAATTTGCATTTACCTGATGACTAAAAATGTTGAGACTTTCTTCATATATCTGTGGGTGATTAATATGTCTTCCTTTGAGAAATGTCTAGTCACAACTTTTGCCCATTTTAAAAATCAGGTTATTTGTTTTCTTACTATTGGGTTTCTTATATATTTTAAATACTAACCCCTTATAAAATGTATGGTTTACAAATATTTTCTCTCATTCTATGCATTTTCACTCTTTTGACTGTTATGTTGGTTGTGCAGAAGCTTTTTAGTTTGATGTAATATCATTTGTCTATCTTTGCTTTTGTTGTTTGTGATTTTGGTTTCCTGTTCAAAAATATCATTGCTCAGATCAATTACATGGAGATTTTCCTTTTTGTTTTCTTCTAGTAGTTTTAGGTCCTATGTTTAAGCCTTTAAGACATTTTGAGTAGATTTTTGTATGTGATGTGAAAAGAATATCTAATTGTATTCTTTCACGTGTGAATATCCAGTTGTAGCAACAACATTTATTGAAGATATTGTTCTTTTTCCATTGTGTGTTCTCATCAATGTATTGTAAATCAGTTGATTACAAATTTATGAATTGGAGTCTCTATTCTGTTCCATTGGTTTATGTGTCTATTTAAACCATGGCTCTTTTGGTTTCCTTAGCTTTGTAGCACATTTTGAAGTCAGGTAGTGTGATGTTCCTGCTTTGCTTATTTCACTGAAAATTTCTATTGAGAATCCTTCATGGTTCCAAATGAATTTGGGGATATTTATTCAATTTCTGTGAAAAATGATACTGGAATGTTGATGTGGTTTGCATTGAATTTGTAGATCTTTTTGGGCAGTTTGCACACTTTGACAATATTGATCTTCCAATCCATGAATGTGAGTTAACTTCCCATTTATCTGAGTTTTCTTCAATTTTGTTCACCAATGTTTTATAGTTTTCAGTATATAGGTATTTAACTTTTTTGGTTGTTTTTTCCTAAGTACATTATTTATTTTTTTGTAACTATTTTAAATGGTATTATTTACTTGATTTTTTTGGTGGGGGGTGATGGATAGTTTAATGTTAGTTTATAGAAACACTACTGGTTTGGGGATGTTAATTTTTATCTTGCAACTTTACTGAATTCGTGTATTAGTTCTAATAATTTTTGGTGGAATATTTAGTGTTTTTTATATGTAATTATGTCACCTGAAAACAAGGACAATTTAACTTTTTCTTTTCCAATTTAAATGCCTTTTCTTTCTTTTTCTTTCCTGTTTTTGACTAGGACTTCCATTACTATCTCAAATAGACATGGCAGAGTTAGCGTCTTTGTCTTATTCCTGGTCTTAGAGGAAACACTTTCAACTTTTCACTGGAGTTTCATGTTACCTGTGGATTTCTTGAAGATGAGCTTTGTTATGTTGAGGTATGTTTCTTCTATACATAATATGTTAAGCCTTTTTACCATGAGATGATGGTAAATTTTGTCATATCCTTTCTCTGCATCCATTAAGATGATCATGATTGTTGTCTTTCATTCTGTTAATGTGATATATCCCATTTATAGATTTGTATATGTTAAAATATTTTTGCATCCCTGGTTTAAATACCATGTGATTACGGTGAATGATCCTTTAGGTGCACTGTTAAATTCGGTTTGCTAGTGTTTTCTTGAGGAATTTTTCATATATTTTTATTAGGGATGTTGGCCTGTATTTTTATTTCTTGTAATGTCCGTGTCTGGCTTTGGTATCAGGATAATTCTGGCCATGTAAAAATGTTTGGAATTATTCCCTTTTCAGTTTTTTGAGAGAGATTGAGAATGATCGGTCTTAGTTATTCTTTAGCATTTGGTAAAATTCAGCAGTGAAGTAATTGGGTCCTGGGATATTATGATATTTTCTGTTCAGATTTTCTATTTCTTTGTGATTCAGTCTTGGTAGGTTGTATGTATCAAGAAATGTATCCATTTTCTCTAGATTACCTAATTTGTTGGCATTTAATTATTCATATTAGTCTCATAATCTTTTGTATTTCTGTGGTATCTAATATGTCACCTCTTTCATTCCTGACTTTGAGTCTTCTCTCTTTCATTCTTAGTTTAGCTAAAGATAAAATTGTTGATTTTACTTTTTTAAAAAACATTTCTTAGTTTCATTGATCTTTTCCATTGTTTTTCTAGTGTCTGTTTTAATTATTTCTACTTTGATTTTTTTTTCATTTCTGACAATTTTGACCTTTTTTTAGTTCATTTTTAAAAAGTTGTTTATTTAAGATCTTTTACCTCTGTTGTGGTAGGTGTTTAGTGCAGTGAACTTCCCTCTTTGAACTGCTTTTTCTGCATCCCATTAAGTTTTGGTATGTTGTATTTCCATTTTAATTACTTTTTTAGATATTTTAAATTTCTTTTAATTTATTCATTAATACATTGGTTGTTCAGGAGCATGTTGTTTAATTTTTATGAATATGTGAATTTGCCAAAATTCCTCTTGATATTGATTTCTAGTTATGCAACACTGTGGTTTAAAAACATATTTGATATGATTTCAGTCTTCTTGAATTTGTTCCGACTTATTGTCTTACCTGTGATCTCTCCTAGAAATATTTTGTGTGTGCTTGAGAAGAATTTGTATTCTGCTGCTCTCGGTCGAATGTTCTGCATTTATGTATCATGTTCATTTGTTCTAAAGTATAATTTAAATATGATGTTTCCTCATTATCTTTTCTCTGAAAATCTGTATCTGTGTATTGAAGTCCCCTACTATTATTAAATTGTACCCTGTCTCTCCTTTCTATTAATATTTGGTTTATATTTTTAGGTGTTCTGATATTAGTTGCATATATATATATACACTCACATACACACACACAGTTGGATAAGTTCTTAATGAATTTGCCTCTGTATCACTATATAATTACCTATTTGGGGTTGGAAGCTCTTAGTAAAATCCTTTTTTATAGTTAGAAGAGACTTGACTTGTTACCATCTATGTCTCAACAGGGAAATCATGTTGTCCATATGCCATTTTCATTATTGAGATGTTAAAGGGGGGTAAACATTTACCATTAAATTAGCTTGGTTGAATTCTGTACCAGTTGGGATTCCAGAAAACAGAGTCAACTGATATATAACAAGTATGTGTGCTGTATAAATGGATGATGATTATACACTAAATTTAACTTAGTGTAAGAATTAAATTAGAATTTCTATCTTTCTAACCAATTCACCAATAGAGGATATTGAATAACCAACTTAAGGAAAATTTGAATTTGAATGGAGGATATAGCTTTGCTAAATTATTTCCTTAGGGTAGAGGAAAAAAAAAAAGAGTAACAAATAGAAAGTATGAAAAATATATCATTTAAGATAAAAAAGGACATATATTTTATACACAGAAATGAATAAATTATGTAGATACAAACACACAAAGATCTAAATGAACTAAGCTACATACTACACGTATATTAGTAGGAAGACTTAGTATCGTAAGTCATAAGTATTGCACATATATGTATTATGACAAAATGTAAAAAAATTCTTGAAGAGCAAGGTGGCATGATATATACTATTGAATATTAACATATATTATTATTACAAATTACAAAATGTTTAAGACTATGTGGAATAGTCCCAGGGATATAAATTAACAATGAAAAGTAATAGAGAAAGACATATGCGTATTATCATTTGACGTCCTATTTAATTGTGATGCTGGGTCAATTGTTTTCCTATAGAACATAAAAGAAATCCAAATCAGTGCCTTATCTCATGCAAACATATAAATTGTACATTGATTAATAATCTGTGTATTCAAAATCTACGTGTGTAAAACCACATTACTTGAAAACTTAAACGTAGTGTTTTGGGTTGGCTAGGGAACAAGAATCAAAGTGAATGATAGGGATAAGAATAATTTATTTTAGAGATTAGATCTTTCACATTTTTTGTAAAGCTAAGATGCTAAAGAGCTAAAAAGAATTGATTAGAATATAAGAGACACAATTAACCAAGAACAACACAGTGGTGCTAGTGAAGAAGTCCATGGAAGGTGGTTTTCTTCATTTCTGGTAGTGGACTTGGAGCCACTGTACAGTGGCTGATAGTCAAGAAGGAAAGATGTATGCAAAGTGAGGAGAGTAAGATCAGAAATCATAAAGACAAATTAAAATCTTTTTCTCACTGCCTCTACGCTTGACATGACAGCTGATCAGCAGGAGAAGTTTATACCACTTGAGCTGGATCTATCTGCACATGCACCTGGCCCAGGAAGCTGTAATGGGAGATCTGATGAGCAGTGGAGAACTGAACCAAAGCCCTTGGCTTTTGCTCCATACCAGTCAGGTGAGCCTGCAGATAAACCACAAGATGTGCAAGTGTTTGCTTACTTGCAATAATACTCACAGCTTAATAGCTTTACTTCTGCCTTACAAACCTAATTGAAAACAAAATAAGAAAAGTCTTATTGCCGACCTAAACACAGAAAGGAGTAAGTAAAGGGTTACTACAACAGGAAAAAAGAAATACAAACTATAAAGTTAAAGTAATGGAGTTAACTAAGCAAAATTAAAGTCTTCTGTTTTTCAAAAGACAACACAAAATTAAAAATACATGCCACAACCTGCACAATATATTTGCAATACACACACTCATGTAGATTAACAGTTGTAATATAAATTTTCATATAAAGATATGTGCCAAAAGAAAAAAAACAATAGATATCATGAAATAATTGATAGATCAGAAGTTGAAAAGTCAGCTAATGTTTGAAAATATACTCAACCTCGTAATATCCAGTTAATATGCTTTGGAAATGTATGTGGTAACCTCAATTCCATGGGATTGGTGGAAATTAAATAGTTGGATGAAACCAAATGCTGTGAATATGTGGAAGAATAGGGTACCTCAAAAAGTGTTAAGTGGGAAATCCATTAAAATATGCACTAAGAGAAAATTGGGGCAATATCTAGGAAAGTAAAATATTGTCATAACTTTGGGTCCAGCATTTCTACTCCTGGTTATACGCTCGGCAGACATCATCACCTTTGTACAAAAGTAGATTTGTACAATGTTTCTATTTTATCATTTGTAATTACAAATATTAGAAAGGAACAATCCTCTGAAGAATAGGAAAGCTGTGCCCTCTTTTGTCCAAGAAATTTTTATGAAATTCCAATATATTTGTGGATATATCAATATGAATAAATTATCAAACATAATATTAAGCCAAAATGCATAAGTATATAGAGAATAGGTTGTACAAGAAAAACAAAAATGAAATTAAAAGCTATTATACCATATATTTACAAAAAATTACATCCTTTCTATGTGTATCCAGTAACTAAACAAAAAATTCAATAAAAAAGATACATTTAAACCTCTAGATGACTGAGCTAGAATCAGGAATCCAATTCCTGAGCTGATCGGGAATCAAATAATAATTTATTTTTAATTTGTAAAATATAATTTGTAGTTCTTTGGGGAGATACAAATGATTGATAAATTATTATTTATGCTCTTTTTAAGTAGTGATATAAATCAGCCAACCTTCTATCATTGAACAGCCATGGAAAACTTGCATAAGCAGTGACTAGACATTCATGGACTAATTGCATAAATGCATTTCTTTAGCATGAAATTAAGTCTCAGATAAAGAGCTAAATTTTGTGTAACAATTTATTTAGTGAATTAACTCTTCAAATATACACCTTTACCTCCAACTCATCTTCCACTCCCACTCATCTTCCACTCCCATTCCAACAAAAAAGGGGGAGGGAATAACATGCTAGTGCTGGATTTTAGATCAATTTTCCTTATGTATTCATATGCATGAGCACCTCTGGAGGGGTTGCTGTAAAACATACTGCTGGGCCCCAACCCTAGACTTTCTAATTCGATAGATCTGACATGAAATGACTTGTATTTCTAACAAGTTCCACATGATGTCCATTCTCCTGACCTGGAGGCCACTCTATGACTGCCACTCCATGAGACCCAGGCAAGCAGCACCAGCAACATAATAAGAGCACCATAGGCTTATTAGAAATGCAGAATATCTGGCTCCAACCCACATCTGCTGCACATGTTTTGTATCATTTATAACAGTGCTTTTTAAAAAATACATTTTTCTTTTACAATAGTTTTCTAATTACAGAAAAATTGTGAAGATAGTGCAAAGAGTTCCTATATATTTGACAGTTTCCTTATGTAGTATCTTATGTTACTATAGTATACTTGTCACAATTATTGAACCCATACAATATGTTATTAAATAAAGTTCACAACTTATTGAAATTTCCCTAGATTGTATTTACTATTCTTTTTCTCTTCCAGAATCTCATCATGATATCGTGTTGCATTGAGTACTCATGCCTCCACAGGCTCTTCTTAGCTGTGACTGCTTCGTTTTCCTTGGTTTTGCCCACCTTACGGTTTACAGAAGTAGTGGTCAGGTATTTGGTAGTGTATCCCTCACTTGGGCTTTGCTTGATGCTTCTCTCCTGAGAAAACTGGGGATATGCATTTTGGGGAGGAAGGCCACAAAGATGAAGTGACATTCTTTTCACATCATATCCGTGCTACATACTATCGAAAGGGCTCATCACTGTTGATGTTAATTGTAATCACCTGGCTAAGATATTCTTTGTCAGGATTTTGACTTTAAAGTTACTCTTTATGCTTTTCTTTCTCAGAAAATGCTTTTTGAGATGAAGTCACTCTGTGCAGCTGACATTTAAAAAGTAGGAAATTATGGTGACAGAGTATCTGTATAAATTATGTGCAGTTCTTTTATTTTCAGAGTTTGGAATTATAGCATTCCTATAAATCTTATTACTAATGGCTCCACGAATTGTGCACAACTGATATGTATTAATGCACATGTTAAAAGCATGTGGGCATGAGCTGTATTTGAAAAAACATTCAGATGGAAGAGCTACCTGTTTTGGAGTGAATCTTAATTGGAACTTAATGATGCCTCCTACTAATTTACTATTTCAGTTGAACCTACGATATCAGCTGTAGCCCAAAAAATATAAGAGCTGCAATTCATGCAATTCAACATCAGCTGCCAAGGCCCACCTGGACTGCACCTGCAAAACCAGCTGTGGTTTCTTTGCTCTCACAATTCATGTCAGGGTTTTTCAGCCAATGCATCATTGGTTTCGAATTTTATATTGTTCCTCTCTCAATCCTCCACCCCTCTAGTTTCTAAATGATAGAGAATAATTAGGTGAGGTTTAAACTCCCAGGACTATTCAGGGTTTGTGGAGAATAGGAAGGTTTCTTCCAGGTTACAGCACAATTTTAAGAGCCTGTCAAGAAGTATCCAATATTAACAAGTAGAAAAGCAGCATGAGTATGAGGATGGAATTTCCTACAATACTTAGTACATGGAAAAAATGTAGAACATACAAAAAAAAGCAGATTGTAAAAAAATTTCACAAATAAACGTAGTTATAGAAATTAATTTATAATTCACGTTTTTAATATTTTTATTATGGTAAAATATATAGTATAAAATTTGCCATTTTAACCTCTTAAGTATAAAATTCAGTGGCATAATTGTATTTAGTTTTGTGCAACAATCACCAGTTTTCAAAAAATTTCAGCACTCCAAACAGAAACTCTGTCATTTAGTAACAACTCCCCATTTTTTATTCCTAATCCATCCCCCAGTAAACTCTAAACTAAATCTTGTCTCTATGAATCTCCCTGTTCTAAATATTTGTTTAAGAGGAATCATACAACATTGACCCTTTTGTGTCTGGCTAATTTCACTTTGCATAATATTTAAAAGCTTTATCCATATAGTGATGTGTATCAGAACTTCATTCTTTTTTATGGCTCAATTATATTCCACAGTATGCATACACACCACATTTTGTTTATCCATTCGTCTGCTGATAGACACACGTGGGTTATTTCCTCCTTTTGGTTATTGTGAATAATGCTGCTATAAACACTAGTGTGCATTTATCTGAGTTCATGTTTTGCATTCAACATTTTAAGGTATCACCAAACTTTTCCACAGCAGCTACATCATTTTACATGCGGACCAACAAAGTATGATTCTTCAAATTTCCCAGTTACTCGTCAACTCTTGTTCTCCATTTTCTAACTATAGGATACTAGTAGGTATAACATAATGTCATTGTGATTTTGATTTGCAGTGGCCTAATAACTAATGGTTTTTGAACAACTTTCATGTTGTACTCATTGGCCATTTGCATATCTGTAGCAAAATGTCTATTCAAATCCTTTGCCTGCTTTTAATTGGGTTGTTTTGTCTTTTTGTTGAGTTGTAGGTTTTTAAGTCTTGATATAAATCTCTTACAAGATACATACTTCACAGTACATTGTCTCATCTTTTAAATAAGTTATTTCATTCTCTTACTGATGTTTTTATTATCCAAAGGTTTTAATACTTTTTAAAACTTGTACTGTGAATATGATATGCCCTGTGATTAACAAATTTAATTAAACAACTTAATCTTTAAAAGTAATTGCATGAATATTTTTGTCCTATTTGTTTCGTTCCTACTTCGTGAACACCAATGATCTGTTTGACAGATTGTCATTTTCCGTATTTCATACTAATTCTTTTTTCTTCTGCATTTTTTTCTTTCTAATCTTTGTGAATATATTGAATTTTCTTGCCTTGATAGTCTGACTAGAACCTCCAGCATATATATATATTTTGTTTGTTTGTTTGTTTTGAGACAGAGTTTTGCTCTTGTCCCCCAGGGTGGAGTGCAGTGGCATGATCTCAGCTCACTGCAACCTCTGCCTCCTGGGTTCAAGCAATTCTCCTGCCTCAGCCTCCTGAGCAGCCAGGATTACGGGCACCTGCCAGCAATCACATCTCATTTGTGTATTTTTGGTAGAGACAGGGTTTTTACCATGTTGGCCAGGCTGGTCTCGAACTCCTGACCTCAAGTGAACCACCCACCTCAGCATCCCAAAAATGCTGGGATTAGTCTTGAGCCACCACACCCAGCCTCTAGTATAATGTTTAATAATGGATGTGTTCCCAATCTTAGGGGACAAGCAGTTAGCCTTTCACTATTGCGTACAATTTTACTCATACAATATTATATATTTTTATTTCTGTATTTTTAGCTTTATTGAGATAAAAAATGTTAAAAATTCAAGAAGCACAACATGTAGATTTGCATATATATATACATTGCAAAATTATTACAACAAAATTAATTAAAATATCAATCTACTGAATTTATTTTACTATTCACATGTGTGCACTGGAGAGGACACTTAAGATCTACTCCCTTAGCAAATGTAAAGTAAGTAGTACACTATTTTTTACTACAGTCACCATGCTATAATTTAGATTCTAGAACTTACTCTTAAGTAAAAGTTTGCACCCTTTGACCACAATCTCTTTATTTCCCCCATTTCCCACCCTTGGCAACCACCAACCACCATTCTACTCTCCGTTGTTATAAGTTTTATATATATATATGATTCCAAGTATAAGTGAGATCATACAGTGTTTGTATTTTGTGTTTGGCTTATTTCATTTAGCATAATGCCCTCATTTTATAGCTGAATAATATGTCACTGTAATAGACACACACACACACAACCATTTTGGTTTGACTTGCTTTTGTTTAAGATGTAAAGTTAGGTTATAAATTTAAGATTTTTCTTTTCTTAAATTTGTTGGTTATAGTTAAAATATCTAAGTACTGCATTTTCTATGACACATATGACTTCGTATGTGGTGTTTTTACTTTCATTTCTCTGAAGATATTTTCTAATATTTTCTAATTTCCCTTGTGCTTTATTTGATCAATTTGTTTAAAAGTTTGTCATTTAATTTTCATATATTTGTGAGTTTTCCAGTTTTTTTGTTACTAATTTCTGGTTACATATTTTTGTGTTCAGAAGGAAAACACATTGTAATATTTCAGTCTCCTTAAATTTGTTAAGGCTTGTTTTATGGTTTAAGTTGTAGTATATGCTGGAGAATGTTCTATGTAACTCTTTCCCTATCTAGAACTTCCAGTTGTATGTTGAATAAAAAATGTGTCTTCTGTGTTGGGTGGAATAGTTTGTGTATATATCTGGTACGTTTAATTGGTTTATTAGATCATTCATGTCCACTATTTTCTTATCGGTTTTCTGTCCATCTCATTAAGAGACATCCAAGTGCTCTTTTGGTGACTGTTTTCATGGGCTATTTTTATATTATTTTACTTCCAGCCTCTTCTTTGCATCTAAAGTAAGTTTCTTGTAGGTGGCACATACAGACAGATCATTTCATTAAATTGTTCTACTAAACTTTGCCTTTTAATTGAAGATTTAATGCATTTTATTCATTACTTATCAAAAAGGAGTTACTTAGCATTTATCTATTTGTTTTATGTTTGTCGTTTTTTTTTTCAATTATTTCATTTTTGTAACTAGTTGATATTTTTGTAATGTACCACTTTGATTATCTCCTTTCTTTTATGTGTGTTTTAATTTTGTAGTGGTTACCTTGGGGATTACAATTAAGATCTTACATTTATAACAACTTAGTTTTAATTATATCAACATTATTTCAGCAGTATACAAATACTCTGCTTCTATACATCATCTACCTCTTTATATCATTATTGTCACTGACTACATCTTTATACATTACATACCCATTGACATAAGTTTATAATTATTGTTTTGTACTTTTTCTTTAAATTCATATAGGAAATTAAGAGGAGTTTCAACCCCAACGTTTAGTAATATTGCCATTTACATTTACATATGTAATTATCTTATCATCTTAAAAAAATTATACAGACTCAGGTTGATGTCTAGTGTCCTTTTGTTTCAGTCTAAATTCTTTATAGGGCAGGTCTACCAGTAATAAACCCTCTTATATTTAGTTTATCTGTGCATGCATTAATTTATTTTTCATTCTTCAACAAGATATAGATATATAATATGGATATAATTGTTTTACATTAGAAAATTGTGCAACTTATAGAATTATTGTCTCTTTTTCTTTTACAAATTTCTTTTACAACTTTAAATATGTCATCCCACTGCCTTCTGGTCCCCATCATGTTTGATGAGAAATCATCTATAAATTTTACCGGGGATCCCCTTCTATGTGAGGATTTGCTTCTTTCTTGCTGCTTTGAAGATTCTATATTTCTCTCTCTCTTTGGCAACTTGATTATAATCTTTCTCTGTGTGGATTTTTTTGGGTTTGTCCTAGTTGGAGATTCTTTAGCTTCTTAGGTATGCAGTTCATATCAGATTGGAGAAGGTTTTGACCACGATTTCTTCAGATATTTTTTCTGGTCCCTTCTCTTCCTCTTCTTCTTCTGAGACTCCTATAAAGTGTAGGTTGGTCCTCTTGTCCCAAATGCCCCTTGAATTCTAATCACATTTTTAAAAATTCATTTTTCTTTCTGCTACTAAAATTGTATTATCAGTTGTCCAATCT